TATGTATGAAGTTAACAGAAATAGTAAAAATTTATATTTCTATTTAAAACATTGAGCTACACTGCAGACAATGACATACTTTCCAGCAGTAATATATTTACTCACTTATGCTGTTGTTCATTTTTGAACATTTAGTAAAAACATACATCATTTATGTAACCAGTTTCAGAATATAACAACTCCACATATTATCAGGAGAAACAAATGCTATGCAAATGTTAAAAGATTCAAAACCAAAACTTCTTGTACAAATTTCTGGGTCTGAAGATAGGATGGAGAAGACCCAAAAAACATTTTATCCAATAAAGAAATTTTGACTCCTATAATATTTTAGCATTTGTGTTTCTCCATTTATGTAACACAACTCAAATCTATTTTCCACCTGATCTACTGTAATTTATTTATTTATTTATAGATCTAAAATTATTTATAATAAAATACAAGGGTTATTTTTTTTTCAACTTCCACCAACCCAGAGTAAAAAAACAAGAATGAAGAACAAAACCACTTTATTTGTAGAAGGTAGTTACAGTCTTCATCCATTTTTCTACATAATTGCCTTCCCGATTCAGACAAACATCATATCGTGACACCAGCTTTTGTTGAATGTTGCCGCCAGGCCATTCAGCTAACCTTTAACAACACTGTCAGTCAGCAGTATACAGTGTGGACCTTGAAATTTGAGGAAACTCCTCACTGAGCTCAGAAATCATGAACTGATGCCTTTCTCACATCAATTGATCCACTTTGTCCACCAAATCGTCAGTCATCACACACTTCCTCCCTTGACTGCCCTCATCATGAATGTTGTCATGTCTTTGTTTGAATTTCCTGCACCATTCATGCATACATCTGTAGCTCATGAGGTTCTTACCATACACATTACACATCCTTCGATGAATTTCATCTCCATTCAGCCCTTTGGCCTGTAGAAATTGAATTACTGCTTGTACTTCACAGTTGGCAGGAGACTGGATTGGCGGCATCGTGTTTACGTGTTTACTGCAGAGTAGCAAATGTCTAAAATAGCTTGGCACAATGCTAAGTGGCTAGGGAATATACTACTTACTAGGTGTGCACTCTGTCCCTGTCTCACATGCTTCCAATTTTTTTTCATGTGTTAGTGGAGATTGAAAAAATAACCCTTGTATAAAGTAATCACACAATACACATTCGCTAACTCTCAAATTGAATGCCATCATCATATGTTGTGTAGACATAAAATTTTTACTTTTTTATAAACATATAATTAAATTTTCTCTACATACTTACAACAAATAACATAATGCATATCTGTTTACTCTGAAGGAATCAGATGAAAAGAATTAAAGACAAAGATCAAAGCCTAAGGCTTATTAATAGCTCTTGCATCTTTTTAATTAATAATTAAAAAGATTACAATTAAAATTACAAGATCTTTTTAATTAATAATTAAAAAGATCTTGTAAAAGCTGACTATTCTACTTCTGACAATCCTCTGATCAATAAAAGATAAAAAGGATCCAAGTTAGATCTATAGAATTGGATCTTGTCTGATCAACATTACAAAGCTTAAACTACAACATTTTTATTTCTGTGTATCTCCAATTTCATGGGATTATTTTAATAATTTTGTTATTTTTATTCATTATTATTAAAGAAGTGAAAGCACTGAACATTTTAATTAAAAATAAATACATATTTTTTAATTCAAATCCACTTTCACTTTTTCTCATTTGACTACTTAAAACTAAATAGAAATTTTTATTATTTCTTACAAGAATTAATTAAAGCATTGAAATAAAAAGACAAATTGTTTATTTTATAAAAAAAAAACATTTTCCTAAAAGTCTTTTGTTGTATCTAATTACCAGAATTTTTTAAAACTGTTTATAGTTTGGTGTAATCAATAAAATGAAGTCTTCAGAAATGTGTATGATGTCTTACTTGTCTGTAATTTAGAAAGTTTTTTTATTGTGTGTTTCAATAGGTTGTTTCTTTCATTTTTGGAATTTTGCAACCATTTTAAAATGTTACTAACTTAAATTTCAATTCATCTGCAAGATACTAATAGATGTTTCATATCTTATAGTATTAAAGCAATGCAATTTTGTATATCATCTTTATCCTTTGAAAATTTAAATGTCAACTGCATTATATTTCAGTTTAATTTTTATTAACATTCTTGAATTCTTTAATTTCTAGTATTTCATCTTTGATTCTTATCATTTTGTTAAATTCTTACTTTATTTTTAGTTATATTCTTTTATAGATCTTCATGTATTCTGTTATCCTCTTTTCTAACATTCTAGCAGCACTTGCTATGGAGAATTAATTGTCCAAATCACTGTTCCAGAAGAACAATTACATAAATGCTGAATTAATAATTTTATTAATTCCAGACTAAAATTTTTAATGAATCAATTCAATTTTTTTAGTTAATCTTTATAAATATATGCTACTCTCTCTTCTAATTCAATTCTGTAAATTCCAAATTCACTAAACTTGAAAGATTTAACTTTTCATTTTTCTTAATTACAAATGGTATATAACCTTTGTAGTATTTTAATCTACATACTAAAAATGTCTCCCTTTAATAGCATATCACAAACTAAAATGTGATTGTGCATTCTCTTTTCTGCAATACCTTTGCTTTTTTCCTCATATCATCTTGTATTCAGTTTCCTATATTATGACTTCTAATACTTACCAATATTCTTTGCAGAAAACTCAAATAACTTTGCTTTTCTTTCCATTAATTAATTAATATGATACTTGATCTCATAATTACATAGAGAAAATGTAAACCGTTCATACAAAAATTTCTTAGCAAATAAAATAGTTCACTTGAATGAAAGTGCATAAAACTACAGACCGCAACTATAAAGAAAAGAGTTTCTCAACTGGAAACAAAATGTATTAGTGTATCTTTCTTCCTGTATTATGAAACGATATTCAATGCTATCAAAATTTGTGTGTTTAATTGTGTACAAAAATTCATATAAATACAATGTTAAAAACATAACTGTATCTTTAATTAAAATTTACAAGTATTTTTGTCTAAATAATCAGACTTATTCAAGTAGTTTTTTTTTTTTATATTTACCAAATTCAAATGCAAGGAAGTTACTCTTTAAATTTCAAGCCTAAATAAGTCTAATAATTTGAAAATAAAAATATCTGCAAATTTTAATTAAAGATGTATTATATTTTTAACATTGTATTTATTCATTCCTGAAAACTCATTTTTGTCATCTGTTTTCTGTTTAATCTGTGATTTTAACAATATTTATAATATTTTATGCACTAAGTTTTATAACATATTCACCATAAACAAAAAAATGAAACAAAACTTCCTGTCTTAATAAAACATTTTGTAATTTATATTTTTAACTCTAGGAATGGAACTTCATTTATAGCATGCAGATCTCTGCAGAGATGCAGAAATGTGTTTGACTTCACAATCAAGATTAGGGGAAAATTAAAACAGTACTGAGAAAATTTGTGGTATAAAACTATTATTACAGAAATAACTACTAAAATACTACAATAAAATGGAGTAGCATCTTGGCTATGCCTATAGACATTAACTGGAAAAATTTGCTAAAATGCACTTTAAAAGTGAAATTGGAATGTTGTTTGTTTTTGATCACTTTGGTTACTGCCTACCTATACAGTTATAAGGACAAATCAGTCTGTCATTTCTAATACAGAATATCTACAAATTAATAAACTGCATTTAAAAACTTTTTGTAAATTGTCTCAGTTAAATAGCTAAATAGAAACTGTTTTAGAAACAGTATTTTCCATATTTTTTATGGATATATTTTGATGTTAATATTTCTTATTTTATAATAAATTTTAAATCATAAAAACACAGTTACATCTCAATAATGATAATGATGAAAAAGTTGGTCAAAAACTCTAAAAAAGTTTATCATTTATCATTTTGTAAAAAAAATCAGTGCATTTAAATAATTTTTCAGAAAAAAAATAGTACAAGTCGTCATAAATTTTTTGTTTTTCAACACCAAAAGGTTCATTAATTAGTATGTGTTAAAAATAGGTCATTCATGGAATTGACTTCAATTTTATTTCTATTAATCAATGTATTATACAGTTTATAATTGTACGTGCAATGCTATGACAACAACACATGCTTGAATTAAAGTGCACTTTTTAATTTTAAAATTTTATACATAAATTTATCAGTTCGGTGGTGTGGCAAATTATAAGACAGGTCAAGTTGATTTGAAATTTCCAAACTATATAGTAATAATTATTAATTGGTTCATAAATTTTGTTTTATTTGATATGCTAGTTTGTAATAATTTTTGGGGAGATTTTGTGCATGTTAAGGGAAATTTTTGGTCCTGAAAATATTCTACACCCAATTGTTTGAGTTTTGTAACCATTTTTAGGAATGCATTTCATCCATAAAAACGAATTAAACTGTAATTTAAATGTAATAGAACTGTACAGCAATTCCTTTATCTAACATTGAACACACAACATATATTTTTATAGGAAAGTAACATTGCCATATAAAATATAAATTCTAATAATAAATGTTAATGCACTCAAAAATTATGGTAATAAAAATCTGTGTGTCTTCAAAGCAAAACTATTGAGTAACAAAATCTTTTATAACAGAGTAAGTAAAATTAATATAAGCTTTGAAATTATTTACAAAAGAAAATAAAATTTTCTAGGAATACTAATAAAGTACTAATCATTCTATTTAATCTCACAATTTGTAAATAAACTAATAAATTTTGTATCTACATTTTAAAATATAAATTATTATTAAATCTATTTTATAATAATTAATTCTTAACAACTCAATCTAACAAAAACTTAGTTACGAAATTACTGTGCACGTCAGTAATTACAACCGTAATTATTAAAAGTTGCTCTCCCAAAAATTTAAGAGAAATTAATTCAGAAATAATTATCATCATCAAAATACTTTTGAAATTTTAATTAAGCGAAATGTGAAATTTTATAATTTAATCTCTTACTGTGGAATAAATAATTATTATTAGCCTACTTCGGTGTTTTCCGTTAGGGTGGGCTTGGCAAAGTCACAAAGGAGCCTGAGAAAATAAAAATTTTCGATTAATTTAGAACAATTTTGACAATAAATATAATTTTTTTTTAAATTATTACTTTAAAAATTATTATTGCCACTTACGGAACAGCTTATAAAATTTATCATTTAACATTAATATTGTATTCAAGCGGTTCTACGTACCAGATCCAACTACTATTTCATTATTTCTATAACATGTATTTATTAAAACCCAGGAATTATTTAATGAGTACTTTTATGTGAAAGAAATAAATTATTATTTAACATCATATACTTTAAGTTAGCAATTTATGCAATTTTATATATTTAATTGTAAAATGTATCTAGAATAGGTACAATAAATTGTTTTTGACAAAAAGACCAGGTTGAAAAGTGAAAACATTCACTAATTTTTATTAAAAGTCAATTATTATAAATTCAGTGCAACCAGTTTTGTAATAGAAGAAACTAATTAATTTTGTTATATAATTATATTAACAAAAAATTTTTCTTATCATACATTTCTAATTTTCTTTCACATATATAAAGGCTATTTTTGCACACATTCTCAATTTAAATAAGCAGTTATTAGAACTAAGTTACTTTCGAAATATCCCTTAGAAAGGTTTCAAAAATATAAAGTGAACATTTGTGTATGAACCATACAAACTGCCTGATTTACTAAGTTGTAATTCTACAATGTTTACAAATTATTACTGATGATTGGAAACTAGAAATAGACAATATTGCCATCTTTTATGTTTACTAATTTAGGATGTCTAGAAAACAATACTGATTCAAACTAGAAAAATCAACTCCATCGATGTAAACAAAAAAGCAGAGGAGTCAAGACTTTAATATTTTAAAAATATAGTTTTATTTGTTTTTTACTTTATGCACAGATAATATATTATTTTCATATTTAAAATTTTAAAATATCTGTTAATATGTTTTAAAAAATATTGAAATATGTCAATGTTGGTCTGTAACATTCAAAAGGTTGTGTACAGACATTTTCTCTATTTAAATTATCAGATCATCAAATGTAGATCTGAAAATCCCCCAAAAAAACTTAAACTGAATAAATAAATATCTTGACTCCTTAACCAACTTAAGGTTTTTTTCTTACAAAAAATATTGACTTGGAGCAAGGTTCAAATCATACATTTCTGACAAATTTGACAAATTCGATACTATAATACTAATTGCAGTATATGTCTATATATGTATATATAAAAATGCCAGATATATGCACTTTAAAATGCCTGAAATATACATTATGCATGTTAAAAACACCAGTAACATACTCTAAAATTTGTAGATTGAAATGCATATTTACAATATTTTACTTCTGACTGCAATCCTACTAACATCTATTACATTACACATTTTAGTTGGGAAGGGATAAATATAGGACAATAAGTAACACTAAAAATTTTAAAATTATGTCATCACAAAACATGTATTTGAATTTCATGCAGGTATGTGGACAAGTCAATTACAAGTAAAATTGTATCACTGTAACACTTACATGCAGTGGCATTACAGGAGAGGAATCTCCTGTAATGCCACTGCACGATTCCACTCCTGTAATGCCACTGTACGTAAGTGTTATAGGGATACAGTAAATGGCGGTGTGAAGTGAAAACATATTATAACAAATAAAATTACATGTTCAATATAATTTTATGACTTTTTATGCTATCTAATCAGTCATTATTAAATTTACTTCTATATATACAATTATTTGTAAGATGTTTGCAGATGGCTGGGTTAACCTAGTTTCCCTCATCCTATACTTACACCACTGGTCTAAAGTACTTTTATATTTTTGTTTATAGCCTGTACAAATGACAAGAGTGAGTAAAAAACACTCTTATTAACTAATTATAGATTTAGTGTTAAAGTTAATACTAATGTTTGGTTCCTAACTGATATCATGAACTCTATAAACTTAGTTTCAGTGCGACTAGATGTTACCTGTGATCCATTGCTGTTTTCAAAAATTTTAATTATTTGCTTGCTGCACAATTCTCAAATTACTAAAAGTAAAATGTATAAGAATAACCTATGCTGTGTAAAGTACTAGATATACATCAAAGTACAACAAACTAGATATTCAGATTTTTGCTCAGTTTTGTTAGCCAAAGAAAAAATACTATAACTTTTCTTAGTTCGAAAGTGTTTATAAAAAAAAAAAGTCACATTATTGAATTTATTTGTGGATTATGTCTGAAATTAGAATTGATATGCTCAATATAATTGATGGATGACTTTAAAAACAAAGTAAAATTTAATAGAGAAAAAAAGATAATTTTATGCACAAATGTTTTGCAAGTCCAAACTCTGACAATCAGCATTGTAAGATGGTATAACATACTTTCTCTACTGATCCAAGGCAGAAATACCTAGAATTTTCTTATGATTCAAACATTCAAAATACTTAGAATTCCCTAATTTTACCAAATGTACAAATTTTATAATTTCAATATAAACTTTAAAACTTTTAGATTTACATAAAGGTTTACTGTTTGTAATCATTTTATATAATTCACAGTAAAAATGTTTGTGTTGTTCCACAATAAATTGTTATATAAGCTCTACATTCCATAATTATCTAAGTGATTAATTTTTGGTCTAATAAAATTGCTAGATTTTAATTAAACAATTCTTATTTTCACTTAAATTTTGATTTAATCTTTACAATAAATCATAAATATAAAACATAATAGTATTTACAGTAGACCCCCTATAATGTGAGTTCCTAGATTCCTATAACGCAACAAAAAAATTGCGACAATATTCGTATAAAGACGCTAAAAGGGACGCGTAAAACGTCATCGCCAACTCGTCATCGCGGACGAGCAGCCGAACTACATTTCCGCCGTCCAGCGCCACGCTACGGAGAGTTTAGGCGGGTAAATTGAGTTTACTATCGTCTGTACAGTATTATATATAAATTAAGGTACTGTAGGTAATTAAGGTAATAAATTAAGGTACTGTATTAGGTACTGTACATATAATTATTAGTGTTGTAACAAATAGTATATTCGGCCAGGAGCGTGGCCGAATAGCCGAATATTCGGCTCAATTATCGCATGTACGGAAATTGGCGCGCAAACCGCATTATGGCAAGGACCCCGCTCTCTATTGGCCCGCTGTCACTAATCGTGTTAATTCTTGACAGATGAAGCGGATAAACATGAGTGTCATGGCAGTATGTGATAAGTGATGATATCAAATGTGGATAACAATGAAATGTCCTACACATGTAAATAACGGAGAAAGAACAGAGAAGGACCGCAAAGTGAAAATGTGAAAATAAATATGAAATTGAGTCGATAACATAATCGAACGAGTCAAAGTAGCTTATTGGCACGAAATTTGTGGCCGTCAATGCCAAACAATTGTTGTCATAGACTTCGGAAAGCTAAATGCTTATGATGAAAGTCACTTAGCATGCACGGGTGAAAGCCTGGGGCTGTTCGAGCTATCTCAAATCTTTGAAATCATAACTGTGACTTATATCGACGTCCTATCTGTCTCTTTTCTCTGTTATCACCAGGCTGAGTCATGTAATTGTAAAATGGGAACTCTACGACGGAAAAGTGACGAATCGAAGGTATCGTGAGCGCGTATTGTGATGTATGCACAGGCATACATGGATTAGAGCGATAGAGGAAAGAGAAAGGAAAAAGCAAAGACAAGCGCTTAAAAAGAAGGATAGGCAGGGTCAGACCCTCAGATGTGCAACGATTCTCCAACCATAGACGTGTACGTGTGCTGATCTTTGTAATTATAAATTGTGAATACATGTGACTAATATTATTTTCTTTTTTATTTTGTGCATGTTACAAGTTATAAATAAATATAAACAAACAACACTAACTC